TTTTAGTGTCATAAATTTCAAAGTGCTTAGGAACGATTTTCGCTCAAACTTCTAGTCAACCAAAATTAAAGTATACTACCGCGGACAATGTGACAGTAAGAAGCCGGCCATGCTTATTTGGTGTCAAGTACCACGAAAGGGCCCCAGTTTACCATTGAAGGTTTCAGACGATCACATGCCTTTGAATATGCCAGTATGGTAACAGCTAGTTGTGAAATCTTGGCCTCTGGTTAGGGCTGCTTGCGCTACGTTATGTAGGGATAGCGTTCGGTGATATGTATAATTTATATATTGCATAAAAAAAAAAAAAAAAAACCGCTGTAATTTCTTCGGCAAACAAGCAGTAGATTTGTAAACAACATTCTTGTACTAATAAAAAAAAAACTGCTCCGACTTTACTCAACAAGATTAACAATTTAATCAAACGTTTCGTCTCCCATGCAGGAAACATCGTCAGTGAAACCTACAAGCAGGAATGAGAGAAAAAAACTTCAACAGTCCTATTTAAGCAAGTCCGCGTACACATCGGGGAGGGGGCCGCGGTTCGAGTTGCAAGCTGATGAGTCACTTCGGATGAACCATGATTCCACGAACCTGCGTGGACCCCACCTTTGTTCGCGCGCCAGAGTGGACGCATTCTCAAAGTCGAAACAGTGACCCGTATTCAAATTTGATTAAATTGTTAATCTTGTTGAGTAAAGTCGGAGCAGTTTTTTTGATCATTATGATTCCCGGCTTTTGGAATATTTTTGCATTCTTGTACTATGCGGAACACTTTACGCTCTAATTTATACGATGAAATGGCAAGTGACATTAGCTTATAACGTAACTTCTGCGACTGTTGATATTTTACAGGAGAATTGAGTAATTTATTTTACGAGAATCGTTTTTTATTACCATGACAAAACGCGAACTCACTTCGTAGTAGCGGGACATTAGAATACCTATATGCTTCGGAAAACATGGATTCCGGTTGGGGCTTGAAGCTGCAAAAAAGATCTGATAATATTTTTCTTTAAAGCAACATAATCAACTCAAAAGTTATTTTAGTAGACATTTCGGTGCAAACCATTCATATTTTTTTTTTCAGAAGCAACGAATATACTAACAGAAAGTAGATAGAGCCTACCTATATACCAGAATACAAAAAAGTCCATCCTCACCGAGTTCGTTGCGGGCGGTGGTCGGGTGGCCGCAGTAAGCACGCCACTCCGGGTGTTGCGCTCCACCGTGCAGAGGGTCCCGTAGAACTTTTTACGCGAGCAATCCTTGCAGAACCCCCGACTGATTCCCCTCATGTCAACGTTCGTAGCCATTGCCTCGCTCTAAAAACAAGATTTGAACAGTCATTTAACGCCCATAGTCAACCTAGGCCTAAAAGACCTGGGTATAAAAAAAAAAGAAAAGCAAACTTCCGTTTATATATTTTTCGCGCCTGTGCGACACGAAAAAAATTAATTCAACCAGCCACAGAAAACAAAGAGGAAAATAAATAACATGCATAAAATCTCCGAAAACAAAAGTATAATCGTGGTCAAAAAAAAAAAAAAGATGATTGGACGTTTTGCCGGCGCAACCGCCAAAATATAACAAACAAAAAGTACACCAGGGGAAAAAAAAAAGAAAACAAAGTAACATGCACTTCCAGGCCACCGCTGCCCCCTTCCCCTTTTTCCGCAGACGGTCGCGTCGTACCAACACCTCCTAGAAGACAAGGGCATAGCGCTCTGAGAGGTTACGTCACAATTGCGCAGGAAGGAAGTCCATGGCGCAACTACGTGAGAATACGCTATCGACGTGAAAAAAATGATCCTTGACAAGCGGCGCGGTGGTGTTCGTTCATGCGCGTTTATCCGACATTAATATACGTTTTAAAGGCGCAGTCTTGTACAATTTATTATATATATATTATAAACGTAATATACAACGCGCTACCAAGGTTGAGAGTGTCAAATTTATATTTATGAGTATCCCCGTAACCGCGGGACTACGTGCAGTTCCGCAGCACCCCACACTTTTCGAAAGGACCGGCTGCGATGCTGCCGATGCCATGGCTCCGATTCTGGTAAATTTACGTTGTGTGTGAGCTGCTGACTGTCTGAAAAGGAACGCTGAGACATCTCAGAAGGGAAGGAAACCGAAAAGAAATCCAGTCATTGTCGCAGGGAGCGCACACCAGCAAGAGATGGGTCGACAACGTTAAGCCTTTCGTCACCGCTGCTCTCGTGTGTGGTACTTTTGAGACTTGTTTTCCGTCGTATTTCTGTCATCACCGTAGTCTCGGGTAATTTTTTTTTTTTTTGTGTGTTCGCTTGATACGTGGATTCGTGAAACAAGTCCTGCTACGGTTTGAGTGACGCGTGACAACTAGCCAACGAAGGCTCTGGTCGATTAATCGATAGACCTCTCTCTCGACAGAGAGGGGCTTCTTGGAGTCAGTGTTCAAATGTGTTCGTCACGGATATTGTGGGACGTATGGATACGATTGACAGGTGAGAAACAACTTATTTACGGGCTTTCTTGGTCATGTAGGACGCAAGTAAAATGCTGCAATCGTTTTTTTTAAATCGCATGATAGATTGCAATTTTGTTCTTGGTCGTTATTCGTATGCAGTTGCGTCGACATTTGTAAATATGCGCGGTAATCTAGTTTTCACTGGAAGGTGAAAAACAAGTTTGTGTGATTATTGAAAGTGCGTTGTTTGTGGTTCTGTGTTTATTTACACTAAGGTTATTGTATTGCCTTTACCGCGTTTATACTAGAATCTTAACTATTAAGGTAAAAGTATTATTATATACAAAATACGTTATGTTTTGTTCTAAGACAGCTCGAGCCCATAGGGAGAGGTAAATTAGTAGACTAAGTAGTACGTTTAGTACCCCTGCCACTCGGAAAAGTTAATATATTTTCATTCAATCATATAGGATTTAATCAGCTCGCGTTCTTGAGTGATTACAAGAGCGCCGCAAGCGGATTTGTCGACCCCGTAATGTCATTCGATCGAAATTACATTAATTTTGCCATGTGGCCGGGGCGTGATGCAAGAATTCAGTGACTGCACGCGATAACGTCGCTTACATGATCCTGAGAAACAGTTGTCTTGCCTTGTCCGCGTTGACTACGTCTACCTGATTTTTAACTGTTCTGTTTTGCTGTTTCCAAATCACCGCGTGTCTCGCCATTTTGTCTAAGTATTTCTGTATAAAATATGCATTCCTACAACAATAATTGCATGACTCAATGTTTTCGACTTAAAACAATCACATTTTTCTGTAGACGTCTTATACGCATACCTCGTGCCATTTCGTACCGATTATTTAGCGGTGTACTATTTTGCTCGTGTAATAAAATGTTTCCTATACCCGTTGCTATGTGCAGCTTTCATTTTAGCTAATATGACGCGCGTATGTAACTAAAAACGCGTTACGACGGTCGATCCACGCGCGTTGACTTCGCTTCGACGCGCGCCCCCGATGGCCTTCCTTTGCGACGTCACGAGAAGAGCGCTACGGCCTTGTCTTCTAGGAGGTGTTGACCGTACTGGAGTAGACGCTTCATTGCGACGCAACGCAAACGCGCGAAGGAATATGTTTTTTTTTATTTTGGGGGGGGGGGGGGGGGTTGGGTTTAGATGGAGTGATATAAGACTAAGACAGAGGCGTACATATTGGGCACCCTAGCCCGAAACAATAGCGCTACAAGTGTTTTGTACGAAAGACAGCCATGCGGCTCACGGCAGGGCAAACGATTATCGACGCTTTGTCCTAGCTGAACGGGCAGATCCAGGAAGCGACCGCCAATTACTGCAGTCAGCTGAAAACTCTGACCCTGCTAGCAAAGCTTTGCATTTCACAGCCAGCGTGAAAATATTGATGGCTCGTTATTCCAACGAGCGATGTACCGTCAATATAACAGGATTACTCACCCGAAGGAAGTCAAACGAGCAGCATGACGCTTGCGACTCTCCGGCCATGACCGTTTCCAGCTCTCCGTGAACTGGCGCGAAGCTTTATCACCGTCTGAATTCTTTGCCGTGGATTAGTGCGCTTGCGCCTCTCCCCTTGATGGAACTACATTGGTCCAGTTAAGAGGGACAAGTCCCCTTTTAATATAAAGGGACACGCATAAATATTTCTGTCGGTCTTTCCTACTCAGAGCGACCAAGGAAACGGTTTCCTTGGTCTCTCTTGATATGTTGGTGTCCCTCTAGATGTTGCTATTTTATTTTTTCATTTCCCTCTTAAAAAGAGCTGTCCCCCTGAAAGCATCGTTGCCCTCTCTAAAATAAGAGGGACAGTGTTTTTAATGAGCGACTAATCTCAACTAAGATACGGTTTCAATTGAAGAGTCACGCTTCGTTCCAAGCACAATGTTGTGCTTTAAGTGTATTGTAAAATTGGAAATCCGAAACGTCTGGGGTATTCCGGAGAGAAACTAAGATCTATACTGAATACCACCGCAGCATATCATATGAATCGTTAATCAGCCTCAAACAGATTGAGGTCTCCCGAACGGACTTTTGTACTTACCAACCGAAGATTTTCTGTCACTGAAGCGGCTTTTCACAAATAAGTCGCGGCTCTACGGTCGAGGCCGATCAACGTGCAAGGCAGCAACATTGGACCGTTCGTCGAACAAAGTGCCATTTAGCGTGAGCGAGCGTATCTTTGTGCTTTGGACGCAGCAGGTGAAATCTCCTTCCGCAGTCCTTACGTTAAGCGTTTATGTGTATTGATGGGCATGCCGACCTCACCAGTCAAATAAATCGCCTTTAGTCGGTGGCAGCTGAAGAACTCAGGGTGAGAGAAAGGAAAGCTGGAGAGGAGGGAGCGAATGAAATGCTGGAAAGGTGGGGAGAAAACAGCCGTCCCTCTCCAGCATTCCGCCTGCTTCTTCCTCCCCAGTCTGCCTTTCCCTCGCCCTGCGTTCTCGGCCTGTCACCGACGATAGTTTATCATCAGTGCAGTTCTTTCAGTACAAAAAGTCGCCGATCGTACACATGACTGACATTTTCGTCGGTTGTAGCCCAACGAGTATCATGAAGGCAGGCTGGTGTTTAGTCTTGGGTTTGTCACTTATGTTCGGTCTGGGAGATTGTCGTAAATATTGTTATGACACTCTCAACTTTACCACCAAGGTAAGAGGACATAGCGAGGTTTGAATGCACTTTTTGTTGTTGTAATTTCTGCTTTTAATTCTTAAGATAACGCAACATATGTATAAATAGGTAGGTCACGAATGAGAGGTATAAACCTGCTGTGGGAGAGATCATATTGTCCATATTAGAACAGGGTTGCAACCCTTTATTCGTGGTCCAAGAATTCCTCTAGACCACCACCTTGTTTAGAAGCACGTCAACATTTAACCCACACCAGGCGGAGGCATGCGGTGACAAGTTCGTCTGCTTCATTGTTCCGCAGGGGTTGTTGTGACGTCAGAATGCCGAGCTCTGATTGGCTCCGATTGAAGGGTGGTTGGTAGACTTCAAGGCAGGTTGCTTTGAAGCCTACCCACTAGCCTTCCAATCGGAGCCAATTAGAAGTCGACGTTCTGACGTCATCACAACCCTAACAAATGAAGCAGACGAACTTGTGCTCCGCAGAAAACCACATCCGCGCGAAGTAAAGCTTCTGGCCATGCGCCGTGCCTACAGCAGCGCCACCGCAGCGCCGTTACGTCAGAGCAGCGCGTGAGTATATATGGAATGATTTTGTAACGTAAAATCGAATATTTATATTCTACAAAAAAAAAAAAAAAGATCTAAGTTGGCATGTTTTGAGGTATATCGATGACCATTGAGAGCTTCAACAGACTTAGGAAATGTATTATTTGGCTACAAGACTCGGAAAGGTTATTGGGCTCAGATTATCGCCAGCGATAAAGGGCAACAAAAGGGATTTATAGTTTGAGCGACAGAAAACAGACCAGGTAATCCAGCGTATCCGTGAAAGACATATAATACCTAGGCGATGTCGGCGATATCAGGAGCAAAAAGTCGCTAGAAAACATTGCAGAATAGTAGGATGGCGGCAAATCTACGAAGACAAAACCAGGGTCTTGCACTCCTGATGAAATCACTTGATTACCATGTCCACCGCACGCCTCCGTGCCGCCTTTTACCGTCTCTTACCAGCGCGCGCATCGTGCTTTACCGTTTTGCTCCTTAGTGCGAGAAGCAACGGCTATTATGGGTGAGCGCCTGGGTTAAAGCGATATGCTGGGTAATTACGCTCAGAAATGTTACACCATGTATACCTTCTTTAGTATTGATTTGAGGTCACTCTCCAATAGAAGAAGAAAAAAAAATAAAAAAAAAAAACACGTTAAAAATTGAATGCGATAGTCAAGGTAGTTTCCGCTCAACTGTTTATCGAAACCAACTTTGACCTCACTTGGGTTCACTAGAGCGCACTGTCAATTTTAAAGCACAAGTATATAATAGAGTATTGAGTTGGGTAGGTTTTTAAAACTGGAAGGCTGGTTTTGGCAGTCATTTTAGAGAAATTCTATTTACAGGCTAAACGGGTGTAAAAATGGGAGGGGAGAGAGGTTTTATCCCAAACTGAAGTGTTGCCCTATGATTAAATTTTCAACAGTTTTTGAGTGCCCATTTTAAATGGAACCTACTCTGACCAGAGCCTTCTTTCTAAAAGTAAGGCTCTGCTTCTCTTTTGCGCCCTATACATTTTTTATTGGAAAAGGTAATAACTAATATCGTACGAGTATCAAAGAGAAACCCTCAATCATTATCATACATATAATTATATAGCAATGCAATCATTTTTTTTTTCTAAATTTTCGGGTGACGTGTCAGATATGCTGGCATCTGCTCCAAAAAGGCGTCAGTGGCTGCTCGAAACCCGTAGTTTGTCTGCTACAGAACCTACGCTAGAAAAGGTCAAATACCGCTTCCATCACTGCATATGCTTAGACGAAAGCAAATAGTCTGCGCCGGTGCACTTAGCACGACGTCTTACCGTCTCACAGCGCGTATTGTTTTTTAGGTCCAACCATATTTTCGGCCTCGTCATTCATCGAACTGCCTTCTTAGAGCGGCAGCGATTGCATCTTCCCAGTGCTTTGCGTGAAAGTGGCACGCTTCAGAGTTCCTTGAGTGCGGAAGTAGGGTATCGATTGTCAGCTAATGTTCTTGGCGATGAACAAAACACTGCCTTAGTAAAACCTGATCCACAAAACCATAAACAAACAAACAAACAAAAATCCGACCGCTTGAATGTACAGCGTGTTCTTTCTCAAAATTTTAGTGTTGTTTTGTATGTTTCTTTTTATTCCAATTAAAAACTATGCATATGCCGTACGCTCGTTCTGAGCTTGAAATGTAATGTTATAGCGGTGCGAACCAGATATTGAAGTTTGAGTACTAATTGTTACTTTATTCAAAGGTCACTAGAGATTTTTTGAAAGTTTTAATGAGAAAATGGGGCCCATTTTTTTTGTGCGCGTTTTCGGTAATTGGCGTTATGTAGAACTTATGCATTGGAAAGCTCTGTCGGTCGCCATTTTCCCATTGAAAATTTTATCAAATCACAAACCATTTGAATAAGATAACAGGTGGTGCTGAAACTTTGGCATATGGTTCGGTCTAATGAACGTTCAAAGCACAAAATTTATTTCTGCAAAAAAAACAACAACAAAAAGTTTGTAATTAAAATAATAATAAAAAAAATGTCCTAACGCTTTTAGGTGGATCATTTCGGGTACGCCAACAATGACACCTTCGAGATGCGGTATCTCTTCTCTGACCAGTTTTGGAACCCTAATGTAGGTCCTATTTTCTTTCTGGTCGGCGCTGAAGGGGACATAGAAAGCGAGGCAAGACCGGTGAGTCGTGCGGATGAACTTCCTGTGCCGAGACAATTATGCGTTTTTCTAGTGTAACCTAAATGAAATAAAGGATGGGCATATTAGTATTTCTGACTTTTATGCAAGCCTCTGCTCAAATTGGACAGAAGGTTTTCGATCCATTGGGTGCACAAAACGATGCTTCAAATTCCGCTGTCTTACACAAGCACAAGAAAAAGAAAGAAAATAATGATTTTAATTTGACTCTTGCAGTCACCGGTGGAGAGAGGGCAAAAGGTGGACAAGTTTTAACTGACGAGGCTCCACAATCCTTGTACATTTCTCAGCAGTAAAATATATATTAAAAAAATCAAACGATATAGGAATCTAATCAATGAAGATACCACAGTACTTAACAACAGAATAGTCGTATACATAAAAATGAGTTCATAGAATCTCATGACAAAGGAAGTACAGATGGATTGAGAGCTAGACCTTGTTGATACACTATGTCTGAGGTAACTTGTAATAAAAAAGAGGGTAATAGTGGTCACTATTGATTATAAACAAATAGCATCCTCGATCATTCGCACCGGTGCGCACTCGCCTTCGATCATGCTCACCGGTGTGCACCAGACGTCCTCGATAAACGGACCGTGCCCTCCCGGTGCGGCTTTTCGTTGCCTTAACGCGCACCAAGAGAATCGACGGTGCGCTGGGGTGCGGTCCCATCAGAGATTGCGGCCAGGAGCGGGATTCCAGGAGATGGGGCGAAGAGCAGAAGAGCAGCGTATCGAGATGGCGATCTTGCGAAAAGGAACACGCCTCTCTAGCGGCACGTGATGAATTCCTCAGCTTTTCTGACAGCGAGGTTGACGAGCTTCTTAGTATCGTCAATATTACCTGTGATTGCTGCGATGGCAAGGAGCGCCCAAAAGTTATGAACTTCGTGGAAAGCGTTGTGAGGCGTTTGGATGACACCGAGGTGTGGCTATTATATGGTGGTACTCTTTTTTGAACCAACAATGATGGGAAGATTATACCCGTGGAATCGTCACCCACTTCATGACCCCATCGACATTCACGTCCAAGATGTTCACCTGGGTGGGACCGCTAAGTCCGCGAGTAAAAAGCGAGGAGAAATTGAAAGCAGACGGTCACCGCATGCGGATGTACGCAAGAAAAAACGAACAAAACGCGAGGGGATGTATGGTGGCGGTCACCGGCGCGGTGCAGTGTGTCCTCGATGTTGCACCCACTTAGTGCTGCATGACCGAGGAGCGCTGTGCACTCTCCTGGTGTCAGGGCGATTCCGGTGCCAGTTGATCGAAGATGCTATAAGTAAAAACATTTAGGGTAAAAAAAATGAATTGGAAGATCAGGATTGAAAGAATAACAGTGATGTGTTCACCAATTTGCATTGTCATCTGTCTGCCATTTTGTTATGTTTGCTGCGAGATGACAAGCAGTGACAACCATTAAACCAGCCACTAGTCTATTCGCCTCGAGATCGAACTAAAGGTGGCGCTACTGTCGCGCTATCATCATCATCATCAATGTGTGGATAGGAAGATGGGTGCTCCATAGGCTATCTGCGGTCGCGGCGAAGAACCTGCAAAATATCGCGTTGATTGCTTCGTACAGTATCATTGTGAAAGCAATTTCAACAGAAAATGGTCCCATACTGTTCAAAGCCTCAGTGCAATACCTATTGCATCGAGGTGGGGGTCGGTTTTCCCCGATATCCAGCGGCCGGCGCGCTGAGGAAAGAGTGGCTCTCGAAGTTGAGATCTGATTCACGCGATGGTTTGCTGCAAAACATTTCACCGCCGAAGACTCCAAACTAACGATGCATGACAACCGAGGTAAGTGGAAAGATAAAACTGTTTACATAAGTGTCACGAGTGGCCCAAAGTATAGTACGTGTAAATCGTGCGCTTTGATACTCACTTGCTGCTGGGCAGTGTGATCGTCCACACCTGAGACTGTGGTGGGGGAAGTTGGAAACTTTTTAGTAGAATCTGACCTTTGAGACCTTGTACAATTGTCATTCCCACGTGTCGCCTTACAGAATGCCACACTAAAGGAGGCATCGACTGCAGCGGAAGTGACTCGCTCAGGGCCTGCGTGTGCATCGGACGCACCTGATAAATTTTCTTGAAGTTCGGTCGGCAGTACGCGGTGAATAGCGCTGATGGAAACTGGTCAATCTACCGAAGGGGCAACAGGGACTATCGAGCCTAATCAATTATTTGTTTATATTCTATGAATTTAGCTTGCCCTCCATGTGACGTAAGTTTTGTGCCACTTCGCTTGAAAAACAAAATGTTTAAAGGCAAATCACGCTACATGAAAACGGAATGATTACATCTGAGGTTAACAGCTCACAAAAGGACGTGGGTGCCACGTACGAAGCTCGAGCCATTCGTTTTCCGAAGTGACTACACCGCCTACTGCAAAGCCCATTGCAAACCCCATATTTTCGAGAATTACAAAATTAGCGAAAAATAAAGGCACGCGAATACCTTTTTTGTTTTGAGGCCAGACTTCGTCTTTAGAATTCGCGAGAGTTAGCGGCCGCGAATAGGTTCCTATACCTAATTTGCGAATAATTGGGATCGCAAAAATGAAGGGTTTTTCGTAAGCAGAGTTTAAAACGATCGGGAGGAAGAATTGTGCGATTCTCTCAAAGTCGTATCCCGCCGTTTGAGCTACAAACAATATTATTCGGCAGGGAGAGTGCAAGAAAGTTCATCAATTGTGGCGCCCTTCATGAGTTTGAGATCCACAATGTGGGGGTTCCCTGCTGAGAACCGACGACTGCAGTAGGTAAGTCCGCACGTGTACGCTCGTCGACGTGGTCGTTGGAGCCACAGCGCTGCACTCAATAATGTGCGCGGAATTCACAAGTTCGCCTTCGACAAAGCACCGCGTTCCGTCGGCAGTGCACTCCACAATAGTAAGCAATGGCACTAAAACTGAAAGAAATAACCGCATCACGACAACAACCACAGTCGCATCATTATATAAGCATCCGGCTTGGCATTCTTAGCCTTCGCATATTTCCACTCTTGTGGAACGATAAATCTTTTCAATGAAACAAGCATTCACAACGTAAATAGAGCAGCTTACCCGAAAACAAGCCTTCATCGTCGTGAGAATTCATGTTTCAACATGCGCCGAGAACAGACGACGTGCGGCGGAATCCACACTAGCAGTGTTTCCAACATCGGCCGCACGGTGGCGACTCTGTTCGATCTCGAGGCGAATATAGCCAGTTTAGAAAATACAAGGAGTCCAGAAGAAATAAAATGACCGATTGTTTTCTTCCATTCGTTCACAAAATAACACAATCTGACACAGTGAGACTTCACAGATAATAAGTAATAACATAATATTTTAAAACATTGTTATCCTTTGCGAACGTACAACCGGTTTCATATTGATTTCTTCTATTATAGCGTTCATATTTGCCTGACTATATCCTGTCCCGATTTGTTTAATATTGTGATATCCGTCTTTTAAAACGCAGTTCTTGTGTAAACTAGTAAGGGACGTTTTTGTCAGACCTAGTGACAAACGCAGCAACACGTAAAGAGCGGGGAAACGCTTTGGCTATATTCATATAAATAGCGGTCATAGGCTTTGATGCGCCTCTGTTTAAACGTCATAGCGACTGAAACATTTCTTAGCTTAGAAATAAAGGTAGGCAACATGACGTTGAAATGGTATGCACGCATTGCACACGGGCCTTATTACAGCCGCCATTTCTGACCTTCTCTTGTCTTACCGAGATGCCGAGCCACTAAAGCGGGCGTTGACGAGTCTCTACAGAGGCCTGTGCTGGGGAGAAGGGCAGAGTAGAAGCTAAATTGGCAATAGCGTGTCCTGCTGTGCTAAGGATGAAATGAGCTTTATAAAAAAAAAAAAAAAAAGTCGTTTATTTTTTCCAGAATATAGGAAGAAACGAAAGCGATAGCTGTTGCATGGGCGTTCAATGCGGGTGGAGTGGAGGTGTCACGTATGTGAGGACGGAGGTGCGACGTGGTGAATTCTCGTTGCCGTCGTGGTTGGCATCGTGGATGCCACTGAAGACTGTCACGAGTGCTCGGTAATCCGTGAAGGAAGTGGGTAAGCGCGGTGGAAGTTTCTAAGACCATCCAACCTTACGTGCAGTAAATGGGTACTGCCAAAGTGGGATTTCGCATAACGCGAGGAATGTTTGAAAACAAGTATTTCAAGCAGACGATACGAGGATCCTCCCTTCATCGCGCAATACTGGGCGTGACGACAGTGCTGCCCTCTTTGCTCTCTTCGGGCGGCACGGCCAACGAGAAGTCCCGATTTCTATTTCCCCGCGGCAAGAGGGAAAAGAAAAAAGGTTTTTTTTTCCATCTTTACGCGCGCGGTGACGACAACCTAATGAGGACAAAATCTCTGCAAAGTGTCGCTCACAAATCTTTCGCTTTAAAACTGAAGGTCGCTAATGGCGGCGCCCATGCACAGCTGCTGCAATGCGTCTATATTTTGCGCTTATTCCGGTGAAGAACTTTCCCGTATATGCAACATAATCGAGTTTTCATATTCTATCTAGGGTCTGATATGGGAATGGGCAGCGGAATTCAAAGCCCTGGTCATTTTTGCGGAGCACCGCTACTATGGACATTCCATGCCCTACGGAGAACGATCCTATCAGGTAACTTTTAAATACAGTTACAAAACGAAATAGATAAGTTTGATATAAATTATATTAAGAAACTTTTATATATAATGATGACATTCGAACGGCATTGAGTTCTATCAGTCGTCCCGTCTCCAGCGGGAGCTTTCTACTTTCAGTAAATGCTTGGCGTCTCCTGAGTTTTTTGCATTCATACACAGCTAAAGCACGACGGAAGACACAGAGCGGATGGTGGACACCGCGCTTCCAGAAGAGACTCCCTGCCTTTCTGATCCCGTCAGTGATCAGCAATTCTAGCTCAGTCCGTCATAAATGACCCGACCTGTCCTGTTGATCCGATCCGCCCCAACCCGTCCCGTTCCGACCCGACCCTGCCCGACACAACGCAACCAGACCCGACCCGACCCGACCCGACCCGACCCGTTCCGACCCGACCCGACCCGACCCGACCCGACCCGACCCGACCCGACCCGACCCGACCCGACCCAACCCGACCCGACCCGACCCGACCCGACCCGACCCGACCTAACCCAACCATCCCCAGAAATCTGTGCCATCGCATGCTAGCGCCATCTCTTGGCGGATTATGGCAACGCTCCCATAGAAGCAATGTATTAAATATAGAAATACGGAAATATTTGCTCAACATCACATTTTTTCAGATTTGCCATGCTACCCGTCCAATCTCTGACACGATCCAATCCTTCCGCAAAAAAGTCAAGATTACAGCGCATAAACTGCAGGTTCCTCATTCGAGTAAATTATTTGATGCATAGCCACTATGGGTGGTATCAGGTTTGATCGGTTTTTAAAATATATTATTAGGTGAGTGAAATAAATTTTAATTTTATATTATAAATACAACCCTCCCCCAATCATATGACAAAGTTTCGTGATTTGTATAATATTTTGTAATGCGTAGAAAAAACATCCTTCTGGGGCACCTCTCCCAAACGTGCCACGCAAAGTGATTTTCGAACCTCCCTAATTTAAAAATACAGAAAGATACGAGATTTGCCATATAACTGCGACAAGGCAAAAACATCCAGGAAGCGTAGTGTACGCTCTGTCTTCTCTCAAACTTATTTGCTCGGGTTCCTGAGACCAGTTTGTCGAACCAGGCGCATAATCGACCAGCCAGCTGTTCAGAATCGTTTCCTACATTCTGCTGCAGGGATCACTAAACTACCAAACAAAGAAAGCAACTATTTGTTTTTTCATTTAGAAATTTTATCATGGCTAAGAAAGGTATAGAAATATTGTTATTAATCATTAAAAAATTATTGACCTCGGCGAAGCTACATTCAGGGCGAATAAAGTGGGAATATTGAGTGATTATTTGGCAAGGAAGCTGACTGTACTTGATGGTCTCTTCATGACACGTCAAGCACATAAATTCAAAATATTAAGTAAAAAACATGTCGGTCGATCCAGCGAGGAGAACATTGGAAAATGAAAACTACGTAACGTCCTCGCTCGAACGCCTTTCCCATCGAGGAGGTTTATTTTCAAGGATATGCAGTTGTACCATGATTGATTTGATGGACTTAAATTTCATCATTTTTCCCAGTTAAAGACCCGAATGTTCTAAACAAGTTCCTTGTGGATGAGCGGAGGCCCAAATTTGAAAAGTTGGACGAAGCCGTCAAAACGGAAAAACCAGGTCTAGTTTGAAGCGGTTTTTCTCAAGACAGATTTATTTCCAAGTATTTGCCATGGCACCAGCATGTAGTAGAGGGATGAAAATGATATATTTCGCCTAAAATGGGTGCATGAGCCGTGCTCCAAAAGTTCCCTGTGAAGGCGCGGGTGCTCAAACTTTAAAAATGGGACGAAACCGTCGAAACGGAAAAACCAAGTCCACTTCGGAGCGGTTTTTCTCAAGACAGATTTATTTCCAAGTATTTGCCATGGCACTAGCATGTAGTAGGAGGATGAAAATTATATATTTCGCCCAGAATGGGTGCATGAGCCGTGCTCCAAAAGTTCCCTGTGAAGGCGCGGGTGCTCAAACTTTAAAAATGGGACGAAACTGTCGAAATGGAAAAACCAGGTCCACTTCGGAGCGGTTTTTCTCAAGACAGATTTATTTCCAAGTATTTGCCATGGCACTAGCATGTAGTAGAGGGATGAAAATTATATATTTCGCCCAGAATGGGTGCATGAGCCGTGCTCCAAAAGTTCCATGTGAAGGCGCGGGTGCTCAAACTTTAAAAATGGGACGAAACTGTCGAAATGGAAAAACCAAGTCCACTTCGGAGCGGTTTTTCTCAAGACAGATTTATTTCCAAGTATTTGCCATCGCACTAGCATGTAGTAGAGGAATGAAAATTATATATTTCACCCAGAATGGGTGCATGAGCCGTGCTCCAAAAGTTCCCTGTGAAGGCGCGGGTGCTCAAACTTTAAAAATGGGACGAAACCGTCGAAACAAAAAAACCAGGTCCACTTCGGAGCGGTTTTTCTCAAGACAGATTTATTTCCAAGTATTTGCCATCGCACTAGCATGTAGTAGAAGGATGAAAATTATATATTTCGCCCAGAATGGGTGCATGAGCCGTGCTCCAAAAGTTCCATGTGAAGGCGCGGGTGCTCAAACTTTAAGAATGGGACGAAACTGTCGAAATGGAAAAACCAGGTCCACTTCGGAGCGGTTTTTCTCAAGACAGATTTATTTCCAAGTATTTGCCATGGCACTAGCATGTAGTAGAGGGATGAAAATTATATATTTCGCCCAGAATGGGTGCATGAGCCGTGCTCCAAAAGTTCCATGTGAAGGCGCGGGTGCTCAAACTTTAAAAATGGGACGAAACTGTCGAAATGGAAAAACCAGGTCCACTTCGGAGCGGTTTTTCTCAAGACAGATTTATTTCCAAGTATTTGCCATCGCACTAGCATGTAGTAGAAGGATGAAAATTATATATTTCGCCCAGAATGGGTGCATGAGCCGTGCTCCAAAAGTTCCCTGTGAAGGCGCGGGTGCTCAAACTTTAAAAATGGGACGAAACCGTCGAAACAAAAAAACCAGGTCCACTTCGGAGCGGTTTTTCTCAAGACAGATTTATTTCCAAGTATTTGCCATGGCACTAGCATGTAGTAGAGGGATGAAAATTATATATTTCGCCCAGAATCGGTGCATGAGCCGTGCTCCAAAAGTTCCCTGTGAAGGCGCGGGTGCTCAAACTTTAAAAATGGGACGAAACCGTCGAAACGGAAAAACCAGGTCCACTTCGGAGTGGTTTTTCTCAAGACAGATTTATTTCCAAGTATTTGTCATGGCACTAGCATGTAGTAGAGGGATGAAAATTATATATTGCGATCAGAATGGGTGCATGAGCCGTGCTCCAAAAGTTCCCTGTGAAGGCGCGTGTGCTCAAATTTGAGAAGTAGGGCGAAACCGTCAGTACTGAAAAACCAGGTCCACTTTGAAGCGTTTTTTTTTTTTTTTTCAAAATAGAGTTATTTTCAAGTATGATACCAGCATGTAGTAGAGGGATGAAAATTATATATTTCGCGTCGTCTACCACTTGAGTATAGAGAGACCAAGGTTCGAGGAGATATCATAGAAACAACATCTGAGCGGATGAACACTGAAACCTTTCAGACTCGCCAAACTGCTTGGCCCATGGACAACACGACAACGCCCAACGAGCCTTCAAAGCAATTCTAAAAGCGCAACGTGCGCGCGTGCGTGCATCGTGTATGCGGACGCGAAGTGATAAGCTAAGCTATGTTTTTTCTTTAACACTAACTTTGATCTCCCCTTTCCTAACGAAGTAGCCAGACACTCAGTCTTTGTTCAATAAAACGGTGGCCGGAAGCGTACTGCTGTAGAAAATTATGTTAGCCCTGGAATAAAGAGCATTGAGAAAGAAACGGGTATTACTCTGTCTCAGTCACGAATGAACAGAAAGGTACTTCACGAACCTCGGAACCAAACCAACACAGAGAGAGCGCCACGTGATCAGACGGTATTGCGCAGCAGTGCGAAAAATGTAAAGTCATGTGACACGCTCACCGGGCTCGGTTGGCTGGGATGAATCGTAACGTTTGCTGCGGTTCATTGAAGAGAAAAATTAGATATAGCTATAAATAAGAAATTATAAACCAAATCGTGTAGGAGATTCTCATGGAACTCGCAGCATTTTGCACCGTCTTTTATGGCGTAAACGCTTCTTCGTTAAAGGGGTCTGGAACTGTTATGGAACCTCCATGAATCTTTGTCGACTTCCGTGAGGTCCTTTATATGGCTTCTTCCGTGAGTGCTTTTTTGGAATTCTGAAGATGCTCCGGAAGGGTACTGCGGGGGGATCACGTAGTGGTCGACGGTCACGCGTGACCCCACGGATCATTGGCACTTGACCGTGCGACCAGCAGGTTCGTTATTTCTAGTGTGGCTACGTGGTGGACGAAAACCGATGGGCCATGGTCACGTGACCCCCACCCACAAGCAAACGACGCTTACGCATGAACATGTGGCCAGCAAAAGTGCGCTATCATCAGTATTGTCAGGTTGCTTCCGACTCAGTCACGCGACCATGCGTGGCCATCAAAGGTGCGCTATTTCTTATGTGGTCACGCGGTGTACGGGACCCCACGGACTATGGTCACGTGACCTCAGTGACGATGGACAGGTGATCCCTTATGATCATGATCACGTGTCCGTGCGACCAGCGAAGGTGCGATATCTTATGTGGTTGCAACCACCACCCCCTCGACAGACCGACCGACGTGAAAACTGAGAAAGGTTTTTTAACATTATGATGTGTGAGGGCAGACATTAACATAAGTTCACGACGTTTTTGTTAGAGTATTTGAAGGCCTTGAGGAACACGGGCTCTAATCATTGTAGTGAGGTCATGCTATATGATCAAATTTAAACGACTGTGTCTGTTTAAAGCAATTAACGGAATAGGACCAAAGAATTTCATACTTCAGGAATATATCGCATATTTACTCGAATTAGTTTTTATACTAGACCTCGGCGTTTGGACAAAATCAAAGATTCGGGAGTTCCGCTCGTTTCAGCTGAATTTACTGTGGAGTTATAAAGTCGTTCCTAAATCCTCCGATTTCCTCTTCTTACTAGCAGGAACCAATTTCGCTCGGTGGCCGCTGTGTCAGCGGAGTAGTACTCACGCATTAGAATAAGAACGGCGTTGCATTGCACTTTTGGAACTACTTTTCTGATAGGAGTATCAGAAAGTTACGCTGGAATTATGCGGAAGTGAAAAAGGCAATATCATTCATGTTGTTGACCGAACAACATTTCTATTTTTCCACACGTACGTGTTTTTGATTATATACAACGCACATTCGCAGCAGCCTGTTTCTTGAAATGTGAATAATCTTCACAATCTCGGTACAGCAGTCCTCACTACTGCTCTTATGTCATGCTCCAAAAACGTGGTGGCGTGTGCAAATTTCTGATAAGTACTAAGAACTCCTGATATGGTCATAACGCCGTTTTGAGCTGAATTGTGGGAGTTTGTCACGTGGGCCTGAAAGCTGAGGTGAGGTATTACATAGCGAGCGAACGTCAAAACAAACGAAGTGTCTGGTTACTCGAAAAGGCAATCTCGAGTCCTCGGCCACATATTTGTGCGAACTTCTCCCCGCCATTTAAATATTAATACCCCAACGCGAACTGTAGGTAATAAATAAACAAAACTAATAATGCCCCAAGGGCGAACTGTAGGTAATAAATAAACAAAAATGAACAATAAACAAATGTATTTCATGCATTCCCTGACTTTCTCACGGAAAGCGTAGCCACAACTTTATTTATTCTTGAGCACTGAAAACGTCTGCCGCGGAAGAGGTATGTAGCACTAATGTAAAAAGTGATGACATGTGAATAAGCCCAATAGTGACACACAAAAAACAAAGATACAGTTTAGAATATTCCTTCGACGGCAGACGAACGTTTTGTGATAATCGGAATAAACGTGCTTTGATAAGTAAGCCCTTGGGAGCAAGAACACAACGTAAATGTTACAATAGCTCAACAACAGAAGAAAAAAGTCAGTTTGTTGAGTGCCAGCCTGGTGGAAAGAAACTGTTAACCAGTGCACCGCGCAACTTTTTGCGATCTGATATGGTGTCAATTATTGTCGGAAAGATCGTTTGAGTTCTGGATGGCACGAGGAAGTGCTGAGGTTTTAAAAGGATGGATGCTGAACGAAATATTCGCTGGAAGCTTTCGCTGCTTTTTACGAAAAGAATCCGGTGGTTCTTAATAAAATAGAAAGAAAGAGAGGCAGAGAGAGAGAGAGACAGACAGAGAGAGGGGGGGGGGGGGGTGAGCAACGCTATAAAAAATATCAGGACGGACTTAGCCTTGCCGTTGGAGCTGGCATTGCCCCGCTTGGCAGTGGTTCCAAAAGAGGTGAACTGGACTGACCGAAGTTTTGAAGGAACCGATGAAGTAAGCAAAAGAGCGAGATTAGTCGACGAATCTGGAGAAGATGAATGAACTTACATTGCCTAAGATCTGACACGCTAGTAAATCGAGAATGAGACTATATGAATAGCGCGGTACAGTTTTAGACGGGTTCTGAATGCGTAATTCTGTACGTTTGGTGATATCATTAAGTATTGTAGACTAAGAAAAAGAAGGTGCAAGCTCCCGGAGACTAAATAGACACGGAAGAAACTAAGAAAGAGGAAGGAGAGAGCGCTCGCACTGAAAGGATCGAGATGACGGTCGGGTACAGTTCAACGATACCTCCAAAATAAATAATTCATTATTTCCTTCTATTTTAACACAGTTCGCATAATTAAACCGGCTTTTTATTTTTATCGTCACCGTGGAGATCCTTCCTCCATTTACTTAATAAAGGCTTCTAAATATATTAGGCGTATTCCGGTTTCTGGGGCGAACGTGAGTACTATAAGTATGCTTCTGTGTTTTCGGACAAATTCGATAAAATCAAAAAAATACTTCCGGTAAAATATTTTAATATTTATATTCACCCAAAAAACTCAGATTTTTCAGGACCGCCAACTGCTATGAATCCTACTGGTCTTAATATTTTCCAGGGATCTTCGAACAAGTTTTGCTCTACTTCTCTATATCTAATATTTATTTATTTATTTGAAAAACTGCAGGCCTTTTTCAGGCCCTCGCAGTATCAACTTTTGTTTGTATGATCACAAAGAACTTCCGTTTAGCTTCTATCTTAAAAAAGGGGAATCGTCGAACACGTTTCTCATTGAAAAGGATACTTTTACTAAATTCACAAACTGCTGTTTTCAACCTTTCGTTTACTTCACCGAAAAAGCCGAAAAACTCTGTACGATGAAAGAAAGCTCCAAAGAACTCCGAATTTATGGTAAAAAATAAGCACTAAACAACACTCCGCGATTTTAAGCAGAAATAAACTCCGAAAACGCAGAATCCTAATTATAAGCTGGATTTCGTATATGTTGGTGTAGCTTTTAGATTTCGTTATAACTTATAGGTAGGGTTCCGTATTTTTGTGTGTTCTTTTTTAAATTTAAGGGTGTCTTTGGGTGTTCATTTTTCAAAGTTCTCTGTTTTCGGTATCTATTTCTGGTGTCGACCAGAAATCAGGGTTTATCAGGGCTTACGTCGTAAAAGCTATTGCACATCTATCGCGTTTTTACAACACACAATGCTCTTCGCGCCAGTTATCACTATGTGGCCCATGCAGAAACAATAATTGCAGCAGAAGGAAGCAGCCTCGCAGAAAAGGGCGGTTTGTTTTCGGGGTCAACAGAAATAAAGCAATTTTTCCAGTTAACCTGGGGTTTCATTTAATTAAAAAATTTCAGTTCGGAGTTTTTCAGTTTTACCAATTTCAAGAAAAATCCCAAGAAAAAAGGAAGCCAGACATCAGCACAGCGAGTGGTCATACCAAAGAGAATATTTCGCTCCTGATGACTTCAGCGGAGGCAGTGTAGCGATACGATGGTTGTGGAGTTCATGAAAGCCTTAATTAGGCAACACAAAATATGGATCCTTTTTGTTGTAGTTTACTCGACACACTCGCCAATCTGCAAACAACTTTCCAAAAATATCGCATATGTATTGTCGGGTAGTTTTAGAGCGCAGCTCTTAGGGGCCCGTTCCCGGCTTGAGCGGCGTCGCCGTCGCCGTCGCCGTCGCCGTCGCCGTCGGTGTAACCAAGGTCATCCCAAGGTCACGTGACCCCCAAGGTCACGTGACCCCTCCAGGTCACGTGACCCCTCCCAAGGTCATCTCAAGGTCACGTGACCCCACGTGACTCCCAAGGTCACGTGACCCCTCGAGGTCACGTGACCCCTCCCAAGGTCATCTCAAGGTCACGTGACCCCGACCCCACGTGACCCTTTGAAGGTCACGTGACCCCCAAGTCACGTGACCCCTCTGAGGTCACGTGATCCCCGAGGTCACGTGGTCTCCTCCCCAAGGTCACGTGACCCCCAAGGTCACGTGACCCCCAGGGTCACGTGACCCCTCCCAAGGTCATCTCAAGGTCACGTGACCCCAAGGTGACCCCCACGTGACCCCCAGGTCACGTGACCCCCCTCCCCGAAGTCACGTGACACCCCCCCCCCCCCCCGAGGTCACGTGACCGCCCCCCCGGAGCATATTAAAGAATGAGGGGAGGAGGAGGGGTCTACCCTCCCCTCAGTACCCTTCACTCCTCCTCCTCAAGAGCTGCGCTCCAATTCGGCGTTACAGGGATTTGTAAACGGCTTCCACTTTTTTCGAATACTTGTTCGGAATTCTTCCGCAGATCTGACTTTTTTGCTTCCATATCGCTAGATATGAAAACGCGGAATAATAGTGTTATCGACTTCTTGCAACCGGGAGGCGCTGATACGGCGTGCTCGTCCGCTCTTTGCGCCCGTCTTGCGTTTGTTTGCCTCAAAATGCGCTCACAGGCTGCTTTTACACTCTCCCCCACCTCACGCACACACACACGCGCGCGCGTTCACACGCACACGCGCACGCACGGACGCACGCACACACTGACACACACAAACAACCCGTCTCGTCGAATTAACCACCAACACTGGCGCGGGTTTTACTGCCGCGTCAGCACGCTCTCTGCGTGTTCTTTGTGCTGTCCATCAATTGATCTTCCCCCTTTCTGTAGTACTGTTTGAGAAGCTCTGATAACGTAGCTCTATTTTCTATTTTTCACAATTTTATTCGTTGCACGCGGAACGCATTTCGGTTTGGCGGGAATTTGCACACGACGTAAAAGTTAAAGGTGAATACGCCACGTGTCGGTAAATAAGTGAACTAGAACAGCTTGTCACAAATTTCTGGCCATGCTAAGCCAATGCAACCTGACATCTGACCTGATTGATCTAAGCTAAACTAAGCTAACCTAGCACTAAACAGAAACTGGTAACACATTATGCAATGAATCACTGCAGAGCACGATACCCCACAGGGCCCGAGATATCACGGATACTTGACAGCAGAACAAGCCTTGGCAGATTATGCTGATTTGCTGATGCATATCAAGGCAAACGTACCAGGGGCGGCAAAGAGCAAAGTAGTTTCGTTTGGGGGATCCTACGGCGGTATGCTTGCAGCGTGGTTCCGTATGAAGTACCCTCACGTGACTGAAGCGTAAGTATGACTTCTTACTCACAATAGCACCACAAATCGAGTTTAACGGAAAACGGTAACAGACATATATTAGTGGGATCAATAAATTTCAAGACTGATTTTTAGCGTAAAAAGAGAGGGCAACTCAGTGATGCGCGCTCAGCAATCGAAGGCAGGGACCTTCCTGCATCATTATGCCTAAGGGGGTCGCTCTGTGAACATTTAGAACTGCGCTACACGAGATTGTTTGACAAAATGCACGAACATAATGACGATATTTCCATAGACCGCAAATCAAAGCGAGAGCGAATATCAATTTTACGTCAAACTCTGCAAATCTAAAACAAATACCTCTGAAATGAATTAGAAGGCTTATGTCAAAAAGCAGTAAGGTGTGCGAGGTGTTTTGAGTGGCACTCGCGCCTCAAGAATAGCAGAACGTCACTGAAGTCAAGGAGAGGTCGGATAAGGTCGCCTTACCGCTCTTCGTCTTCCAGCGATGTTCTGCCGTTCCTGAAGTGCGAGTGCCTATCAAAAAACTTCGCACACTTCACTGATTTTTGACATAAGCCTTTTAAATCATTTCAGAGGTATCTGTTCTAGATTTGCAGAGTTTGACGTAAGATTGATGTTCACTCTCGCTTTGGTTTGCGGTCTATATAGAGATTAGAAGTATGCTCATGCATGTCGTCAAACAAACTCGTGTAGCGCAGTTCCAAATGTTCACATAGCGATGTCCTTTGGCATAATGACGCAGAAAGGTCTCTGCCTTCGGCTACTGCGCCCGCATAACTTTACTGTCCTTTCTTTTTAACCTGAAAAGTCTGTGTCGGAACTTTTTGATCACACTTCGTTCGTAGAAAGCTCTTTTCGACGAAACTATTGTCAGCATGCAAGTCTGAGACTGCTAACATTGTTTACAACCTTGAGACCCTTGAAATGTGATTTTTCAGGAATATATTTGTGTATTTTTCTCAGGTGAGATAGGCTGAATAATGTAAACGAACCAGAAAAGTACAGCCGTGCGTAAATAAAATGGTTATATATGCGACACAAATAATACAAATGACAGCAAATATCGTTATCGAACCCAGTGAGAATAATTTTGTTCTACTAAAGTGGTAACGAAAAAAGTCAAATTTGGTGGTTTTACGTGCCAAACCTACGACGGGCATCTGGCACGCCCCAGCGGAGAACTGAGGATTAATTTCGACCACCTGGGGATCTTTTGACGTGCAACAGAAAGCTCGGTCACACGGCGCCTTCTCCGCAATAAGCCTCAGTCGGGATTCGAACCCTCCACCTGGGGATCCGTAGGCCGGCGCTCTCGCCTCGGAGCCACCGAAAGTGGTAACGAGCTACTGCCCCTTCTTGAATATTGGTGCATGGAAATAAAGAGCCCGACAATACTTTATTAGTGCTTTAATGCTTTTTTATTATTTTGGCATAAAACTGCAATTTCTCAGGAATAAGATAGTTAGTCTATGTTTTTTTGTTTATGTATGGACGCCTGATGCGTTGGTTGCTCGACGTATTTGGTTCCTAAAGCTACGGGCTCAAGGTATTCCTTCAGTATTTTATCCCATACTTGCTCTCCTCGGTAAATTTATCGGAATACTCACTCTAACGATAACTGAGGTGCACCGCTCATTCTTTGCGCAAAAGACAAGGAATAAAAGCATTTTTTTTAAATACGAATAACTAATTAACGTGATTTGCTGAAAAAAATTGCAGACGTCCGCATAAAAAGGGCTGCGATTGAGAGCGGTAGCTGCTGCATTGTGGAAATGCATGTTGAACGAGATTTGCATTCAGCCAGTGTGAAGTACAATGTTTGTATAATAGGTTTTGAGAACGGAACCTGGGCGGCGGTAGTCGGGAGGCGAGGGAGCGTGTCGGCACAGCGCTACCACGTGGGTATTTTGCAGTGTTGGCGGTAAGTGCTACAAGTAACGGCGTTACCTGTAACGCGTTACTTTCCTCGGTAACATAGCACCGCACTCGTCATATTTCCAAAACAATAACGGGTAACGTACTTACGTCACGTATTTAAAGTAACGTGTAGCGTTGTTACTTTATTCGTTACTCCTTTTTCGCAAGACTTGAAAAAAATGACTTCCATTTTCTTCGTGTGTTTAGGTGCAAATGCTATAAAATTTTTCTAGACCTTTTTTAACGTTTTTTTTTAGTTATTTCTTATGAGTATTTTGGTGACATTGCAAAGAAGATAAAGTAGTATGTTCAGTTTCTGCATGAATGAACATAATGTTTCTCAAAATATGTCGCTTACATACCTGTAGCGTCGAAACAATAAAACGTCTTAATTGATAATTAAAAAAGTGACGCGAAAGTAATGTGCGTTACTTTTTATCGGTAACGGTAACGAGTTTCTTTAATTTTCAGGTAGCCTAGATCGGTAACGCGTTACCTTTATCTGCAAGTAACGAGTAACGTATTTTGTTACTTTTTTTGCTAGCGCCTACAACACTGGTATTTTGTAACGGCGGCTGCCGCAAGTGTAGAGGGAAGGGGGAGGGGGGTGAAGGGAGAGGCGTCGCTGGAGGGTACGTTGATGTAGCGGGAACGACGGGGAGGCGGAAAGTGCTCTCTCCGTGATCAAGTGGGTTTTTCGGAACAGCGGGAATGAACAGTGGGAAAAAAGGCGGGGGGGGGGGGGGGGAGGGGGGGGGGGGTGCCTTGCCACAGAGGTGTTGGTGTGTGTGAGGAACGTGCCTCTGGCATAGAACGGTGTTTTGCGTTTCTACATAAACTTTCTTTTTCTTTTGCCAGGGAGGGGCATTAACAGCTACTGCTGTAAAACAACCAGTTGTGGGTGTTTTAGAGTTCGTTTAAGGGGTATTCATGCGAGGGGAAAAATCCCGGAGATTTCTCCCCGGCACGCGCATCCCACGATGAACACGTCAGGCTTTGCGATGCGCAAAAGCCTCGCGTTTTCATCTCGTGATGCGCGCGTGGGGAGGAGAAATCCCCGAGATTTCTTCTTCGTGGTAATACTCCTTTAGCGGTGCTGCTGATTGAGGTGCTTATAACTCGTCAAGCTATCTGGGCAAAGAAACCACCAGTGAGATGAAAACCAGCGACACGCATTCGTTTTAGCTCCTGCCGGTGGCAAAAAGCAGTGAATTAAATTGATCTTACTTCGCCCTTCTAGAAAAAAAAAAACATACTTTTAGTGGGATGCTGAAAAATCATACTTTCAATGTGTGTAAGTAAAGCGGCGTAGCTCAGCGGCAGCAGCAATAAGAATATAAGGTAAAATATAAATACAGATTTGCTTCAGAGATTGTAGGTATGTAGTGCTCTCGAAATGTATTTCGATCCTACTTTTATTCTTGCAAAAAAGCGTAAGATCGGCATACATTTATTAATAATATTCTTGGGCCAAGATTGCCAAGCCTGTGAATGCTGTCCAATTCCAATACTGAGCGTTCAATTTTTTCTCCTACAGTGCCCTGGCGTCCAGCGCTCCCATTTTGATGTTTACGACCCCCCGGACGCCCTGCAACAAATTTGCAAACGTAACTACAAAAACGTTCGCAAAGGTCTCAGGTCGCTGCGTCGAAGCTATTCGGAAATTTTTCGGAGTCATGAAAAAGATGGCAGCCACAGGTTAGGATTTTCTTTAAAACTCGGGCAGTGATTTGGTTGGAGCCTTATTTAAACCCAAAACTTCAAGGAAACGAATTCTTCGTTCAATACTGGACACTTGTAAAGTATTAAAAAAGGAGAAAAGTTGCCATCAAAAAATCCACAAGGCAAGCAAATACTTCCTGCTTCTTATTTGAAAGTCTTGTTACCCACAATTAGGGAGCATATCTTTTTCTTGGTGCACAAGGGGCATGACATAAAAAAATAAGAAAACATACACATATAAACCACATCGCTAAAGAAAAAACAAAAATGAAAGCCGTTTACAATTCCCTGTAACGCCGGTTGGAGCGCAGCTCTTGAGGAGGAGGATGGGAGCGTACTGAGGGATAGGTGACATGGGAGGTCGGGTGACGTCAAGGGGGCCACGTGACCTCGGGGGACCCTCGGGGTCACGTGACATCGGGGGACCTTGACATGAACCCTCCTGAGGTCACGTGACCTCAGAGGGTCACGTGACCTCAGGAGAATCACGTGACCTCAGGCGGCCACGTGACCTCAGTGGGTCACGTGACCTCAGTGGGGACACGTGACCTTCAGAGGTCATGTGACCTCAGGGATCACGTGACCTGGGGGTCACGTGACCTTGACAATGACGATTTGGGCGTCGTCAGTGACGTCACTGATGACGTAATCAGTGATGATGACGATGACGATGCGGATGCCAATGACGTCATCAGTGACGTCACTGATGACGTCATCAGTGATGATGACGATGACAATGCGGATGACGATGACGTTATCAGGTTGCATGCAACCTGGATTGCATGCAACAGGTTGCATACAGATCGTTGTATGCCAGTTGCATGCAACTCCCGAAGGAACCCGAGGTCCTCCCGAAGGAACCCGAGGTCCTCCCGAGGTCCTACCGAAGAAACCCGAGGTCCTCCCGAAGGGACCCGAGGTCCTCCCGAAGGACCTCGGGTTCCTTCGGGAGGACCTCGGGGGGTTCACGTGACTCCAGGGGGTCACGTGACCTCAGTGGGGTCACGTGACCTTAAGAGGTCATGTGACCTCAGTGGGGTCACGTGACCTTAAGAGGTCATGTGACCTCAGGGGTCACGTGACCTTGACAATGACGATTTGATGTCATCAGTGACGTCACTGATGACGTCATCAGTGATGATGACGATGACGATGCGGATGCCAATGACGTCATCAGTGATGATGACGATGACGATGCGGATGACGATGACGTCATCAGGTTGCATGCAACCTGGATTGCATGCAACAGGTTGCATACAAATCGTTGCATGCAACGATTTGTATGCAACCTGTTGCATGCAACCCCTGAAGGAACCCGAGGTCTTCCCGAAGGAACCCGAGGTCCTCCCGAGGTTCTACCGAAGAAACCCGAGGTCCTCCCGAAGGACCTCGGGTTCCTTCGGGACGACCTCGGGTTCCTTCGGGATTCCTCGGGTTTCTTCGGAAAAATTTGCCCATAATGCACCGCGCGGTTACGCCGACGGCGACGCCGACGCCGCTCAAGCCGGAAACGGGCGCCTAAGAGCTGCGCTCTAAAAAGTACATTTACCACACAAACGATGTTACGAAAAAAGAATTTCAGTGGCAACTCAGTAATGCAAAAAAACATGTCATAAAACAAAATCAAGAGGTTATGAGCAAAGTTTACGAAATGTATGTCTAAAAGGCGAGAGCAAACAGCCACTGCTGGTGAGTAGGCAACTATACGGACCGCAAATAAGGGATGAAAGGGGATTTCGCTGAGTAGTGGGTAGAAACAAGCCTTTGCCTGTATTCACTGATCAAATCAAATCAAATCAAATCAAATCGAATCAAACTTTATTTCCCATTAAACATGCAAATTCGCGTTCGAACGCGAAGACCGAACGCCGAAACATTTTTGACCCGTTTACCCAAATTCTAGTTTACTATCTTGTGCTGTCAATCAACAATTATTCTGAACTTTGATGTGTATAGAGAACGATTAAAAATCTCAGAATGACAACGCGATACTGAATTATGAACAGTAAATGGGGACCGTATACGATCAAAAACTCCATGCTTATCAGTGTGTAGAAAAAGCAGATCGTATTAAAGTGGTCCTAATTAAACCAAAATTTGATAATGATTGAAATCTGAATCGATATCTCAAGTAGGTCAGGCTAAATATTATAGATAGGCTTCGTTGTTTGCGATAAAAACCGATAAATCATGAAAATTAACCCCCGAAACGGTCTTCTCAAAATCGAAGAAAAAAGAAAAACCCCGAATTCATAGTTTCTTCTAACAAAACAAAAACCACGTTTCACGAAAAACAAGGACACACCTTAAACTACGATTTAATTTTAAATTGACGCAGAAAGACACCGGATCTGTCGGAAAAAAAAAAATCAACCCCGTAAAAGCATCTCTGAATTCGAAGAAAAATATACCCACAACACACGGAAGCCTATTATAATTATGGTCCATTCCAACTCTCGCATTCTGCGCGCCGCCATCTATGTCCACTGCACTGTGAAACGCGTTCTGAACATATGCAATAGCAGCACTCTTCCGCGAAATATCAGACGCTGCGCATCCGTCTGCGGCGCAGTGATTCGACATTTCTCGCCTCCGGTACGATGGACCCTCCGATACGAACTGCGCATGCGCTGCCACAGAAGACTCGCACATACGCATTTCGTACTGGAGGGCCCATATCGTACCGTATCGGATACGCAAAAACGGTCCCCTTAAACTCTCTTATTGACTCTAGGGACTGCACGCACAGACGACGAGGTTCCGACCCTCTCTAGAGCTCCTCTATGGTGCCTGGAGCACGTCTCCGACTGGTGTGTTCACCGCGTCCAATAGAGTGGATCGCCCGATTTCCGCCTTGTGACGTCATACAAGTGTCACGTGGTCGCCGGCCGCGACCCTGGCGGCGTCACAGCAGAGGTGGTGGATGTGGCGGAGGATGGTTCTGCTGCGGGTTGTCCTCCAGCTTGACGATTCCACGGAAACCTCCGGCAGCCAGGAGCTGGGACGCCGCGACGACAGCGACACTCGCATTCGCTCGTGCTTCACGCCAGCGTTTCTACGACCAACCGCTAGGATCGCGACATCCGACAGCGTGACACTCCGGCTTTGGTGACGTCATTTGTTGCTACCTCGGGACAACGTTTGATGCGTGGGCGAAAGGGACGCTAAACACACCTGTCAGAGACGCGTTCTATAGGCACCGTATAGCTTCATAGAGGCACTGCAGTGACTATAAAACAAAGCGATTGACGAAACGGTCACGGAAGTTTGAGTGCATAAATCGCACGCTCCTTTCTGTAATCAGAGCAAGGTGCCAAGACCCTGCAACAGCAGCTTCATCAGTGCCATCCCGTGGATGCGAAAAAGTTCCTGGACCTGAGGGAAAAATTTAGTGGCATTTATATGTTAGCGGCCACGAGAAACTACCCACGGGGTATAAACAGGACAAGCCCCGTAAAGGCAAGTTAATTTAACCAAATTTTAATTTAGAAATATATGGCGGATCCGTGTTGTGTCCTGCAAACGAACACCTTGGCTTATGTAAAAATAAAACCGTAAATTGTAAAACAAAAAGCGTAATGGTTTGTGTTGAATCGGATAACTGCTGCAACGGTCAAGACGCTACACACACTGCCGCACACAGTTAAACTGCAGCGTTTCAATTTAGCGCAGTTGCGTCCCTTTAAATTTAGTGAACGGTATTGATGTGACAGTGTCACGTCACTCGACGCCATGATGTGACGTGACGATAAATCCTTTTTCTAGCTTTCTAGCGGAAACTTACACGTTAAATATGGGCAATAAAATTTCACGCTAAACTTAAGAGAAAAACAAAAGGCTTGCTTGGCACTGTGATTCGACGTAGCAGTCTCCGATCTACACACAAACGCACCCGGTGATCCGCTAAGAATCCTTGCCAATAACAGCTATAGTAAATAGTAATAATAATAATAATAATAATAATAATAATTAACTATTTTTGTTGTTACTTTTAGAGCGCAGCTCTTAGGCGCCCGTTCCCGGGTTCAGCGGCGTCGGCGTAACCGCGCGCGTTGCATTATGAGACGTCACAGCTTGCCCGCTAAATTTAGCGGGGAAACTGAATTGGTGTTCAGTTCACGCGACTTCAATTTCCGCGCTATATTTATCGAAGAAACTTAACCCGCTTAACTTAGCGGGGAAATTCTCTCGCTATATTTTGCGGAAAAATGTGCAGCTAAATTTAGAGGGAGAACTTTTCGCTAAATATCGCAGAAAAGATTTTGCTAAATTTCCCGCTAAATTTAGCAAAAATTTCTCGCTAAATGGGAGGGGAGCAGGAGAGGAGGAGGGGAGGGTACGGAGGGGAGGAGGGCCATACCCTCCCCTCCGTCCCTCCCCTCCACCTCCCGAAGAGCTGCGCGCAAATTCGGCATTACGGAGGATCGTAAACGTCGTCAAGTTTTTATCAATGAGTTTCAATTTAGTTTTTATTGTGCTTTAGAAGAATACCTTAGGATCTAAATTAAAACTCAGCGATAATTTTTGTAAGCGTATTTGATTTTTTTAATTGAATTGTTAATTGACTCGAAATATTCGTGGCGAGTTTCGTAATTGTTACGGTCATTACATCGATAGTGGTAGCCACGTTGCGCGACCAATTGCCCAAGGCAGTTTCATCCCTCCATCATCTGACAACAAAATGCAATTTGTTACTTAATAGGCACGTGGAAGCTTCACGAAAAGCGGCTCGGCGCCAACTTGTCCGTGCGATGGTATTGAGGCAAATGTCGTTTCCGCAGTGTTGCAACCCCGCTCAACCTTGCGATAACATGGCTTCGTGTTTCGTCTCAATCGTGCACGTTCTCGAAAACAAATATATCTTTTATATTTTTTATACGAGAAAGTCGTGGACTTGTATTTTAAATAGATTCCGATGCTTCTATTTCTTTCCTCGTCGTAGACGATTTGTAGCTTTTTGAACAGGACGTTCAGTGATGACATTGAACTTCTGCAAGCTATCTACAAAGGCGTCAAAGGTCAAATCAAACCAAACTGCTCCTCGAATCAAAAGAACGTCAACCTCGGAGCGAGCTACCAAGTTCGTATGCCATTTCCACGTACATACACATTGATAGTTTTGGTTTAATGTTTGGTTATAGTCACAATATGTCTGACGTGTTTGCTGAGATGGAAACAAAGTCGCACATGTCCTGTTTCCCAGAGCTGGTTCTGACTAGGTTCGCGCAGCGCTACCAAAGGTTGATGGGCGAGCGAGTAGCGCAAGCAGTCGGAGAGGCGCGAAAGGAGAAACTTCCCTCTTACCTAGGCTCTTTTTTCTTACTCTTTCGTAAATTTGCCCGACACCGAAAAGTCGCACAAAAGCGGCTTCCCCCCTCTCTCTCTCTCTCTCGCCAGTGACTTTTAGTGCTCTGCGCGCAACCAGTGAGCTAGAGTATGGACTCATTAAACAAAGAGTTGGGGCCGAAGTTCACAAAAGCGCGCCGATTAGACTCTGGCGACGATGACTCGGCGCTTTTATCGCCGAAGCTTTATCAGCGCGCTTCGCGAACTTTTGGCTCCAACTTTCTGTCTGACGAGTCTATAGGATCGAATCATATCCTCCTCTATACTTACAAAGCCTGGCAGATCGCCACGAAAAGCGGCCGCCGAAACTGAAATGGTAGAGCGGCAGAGAACGAATGAGAGGAGAGCCACGTGGGCGAGCGCCCCGCTGCGGCGAGACGCACAAACCCACTTCTCCCGAGCGATGTAATGCCTGCTCGTGCTCCTCGCGTTCCTCGTGCTACCGCTTCTTCTCTCGTCAGGTTTGAAAACCACGTTTCGGGTCTTCGCCACTGCAAAAGCTGTGCGCTGACGACCAGGTTCCCCGAAAAATGTTATGTGCCACCAGATCCTCGCGCCCCAGATTTGCGACCGGGCACTCTATTGCTTTGTCGTCAAACTACCCGGCTTTGTGAGTATAGAGGAGGCTATGATCGAATTTTCGGTCACGTTTTTGTAAATAACGTGTTTTGAGAGTCGTGATTCAAAGCGTACGGTGATGATTGTGCGCTGTGGCACGTGCTTCGAGTTTGGAAGTCTGTAAACGGTGTGCGACTTTTTGAATCAACCTATTAGATGTCTAAAGAGTAAAAACGCACGCAAGCTGGGGAATGACTTTCATACTGCGAGCCGAGATAGGGAAAATAAAATAACGGACACACACACATCGTCTCAATCTCTTCATGAGATTGAGACGATGACGGTCTCGACGATCTGTCTACATACAGGGTGTTTTTTTTTATTCTTTCAGATTTGTTAAAGGAAAAGCCGTGAAAGCTACATTTATTCGGTTTGTGCACGTGGGTTATACGGCCAGGCGGACGTTATGTGGGTGGCTAATCTTTGCAATAAGTCGGCTAATTAATTAAAATTAGTTAATTGACTTTTTAATTAGTAAAAATAGACATACGGTTCCAATTAGAAACTTGTAGAGCATCATCGAAAACCACCAAATTAACTCTCTTTAGAAGGATGTAACGCCGGGGCAGCATTTTACGACGTTCTGTAAAGACGCTGCTTTTGGGTGCATTTCTAGATTTCAGTTTCTTATCGGAGCGCATCTTTGCCCCCGCAGTCCTTCTCCCCGGTGGTCGAGGCGCGAAGCAACCCCTCGCCTCCCTTGTAGAATGGAGGGAAGTAGGGCGCACGTGTGTTGCGCGTCTCAGCCACTGAAGAGCTGGAGCGCGGGCGCGTAGATTCGCTCCGATAAGAAACCGAAATCTAGAAACGCTTCCAAATGGAGCGCTTATTCGCGACTCGAGCGACCTATAGGGGGCGCCACCACCAAACAAACATGGCGGCTGGGTCCAGGTCGCGTCGGCTCGGCCGGGCCGCCTGAATGGGTGGCGCATTCAATTTAAAAGATTTCCTTTTGTTTAATGCCCAATTTTATGGGTATTTGAACTGAGACGGTTAAGTGTAGCCGGTGCGCATAAACTTGCCGAGCATAGTTTTGTTTTGCCGGTGTTTTTTTGTTCTTTTCATGTCAAACATTCGTTTCGGAGACTTCGTTCAAAACGGAAACTATGGGCTCCGGAGAAATGGTAATAGACTCTAATTAGTTTTGATCATCTAAGGAAAGCAGCGATGGCTACAAAATTGTTCCACCGAGAGTAATTTTTAGCTAACTCGCATGCCTCGACCATGCGACTTATCTGTCCGCGAAATTACGAAAATTAAGCAAACGCTTCTTGAGCTAAGGAGCATGTAAACCCGCTGGCGCTTCACCAAGCAGCTGATACTCGTATTTAAATTCAGGATTTAGTAGCAATCGAGAAGTCATTTTGACGAATATGCGGATTATGTATTATATTACGTACTATGTCCCACTAAAGCGATATTAGTATATTCTTCGGGTTGAAATATGAACTTAGTTGACTAACTATTAGGTGAACTGCTGAATAAAAGTATATTTGAGAGACCGAGAGATACTACTTAAACTTAGTTAAATGGTTCTAGCCGGTAGAACGGAGACGAATGCGGACAAACTGAGGAGTCTTCATCGGAGATTCACTCAGACCTCTCCGCATTGAACTTGACTTCGAATCCTGAACGAATAAAATGAGTATCTTTTGTGGCCGGTCAATCTGAGCAATGTAGACGTATATTGCTGCTGGCTTCGACAGGGGTTATAATATAAATATTAGAGGCGCGATAGATCCTAATACCGTGACAGCTTCTAACTTTGCGAGACGCGTTCTCCACCCTTTGAAAGCAGATAATTTCCCTCATTAATCATATGCAGCGAGCAGGTTTTCTGAATCAAGTAATTGCGAAATCAGCCCAACTCCTTCAGTGTGGTCTTTTGCGGCGAAAAGCAGCCAAGATGAAAAGCCGGCGTTAGTGGCTAAAACTTGAAGCTAATCGAGCACAACCAAACTCAAGAAAAGCAGCTATCGAACCTTCCCATTCACCTGAGTGCAACATTGGTGTTCCCTCCAGTGAAACACCTCGTCTTTCGACCTCAGTCCACTGTTCTACATCCTTATAAAGAAACCACTTATCAGTTACCAAGTAGTCGTCACTTCTAATTTGATTAGAGACAGACAAGAAATCAAAACGTTTTTCCGTGATTCTTCCCCATCCAAAAAATTGAAAGCACGCTACCGTGTGTTGTGGAGTAACGGGCTTTCAAGCACGTGATGGAAAGAAACAATCTACTGAGGCTTCACCACACTAATGAACGCTCAGGCAAACTTAAGAAATGTTCGGACCTTCGTCAAATTACATTGCTCGCCCCCGCGCCGACAGCACGTGTCCGAGAAAACCACCAGAGACGCGGCGGGGCGCGGAGCGACCTGGACCGACTGGTTCCCGGTTTTCCCGCTTGGCGGCGTCCGTTTTGCTGGAGTCGCGAATACAGAACGCCGTAAAATCCTGCCCCGGCGTTATATCCTTCTAAAACGAGTTGATTTGGTGGTTTTTGATGATGCTCTACAAGTTTCTAATTGGAACCATATATCTATTTCACTAACTAAGAAGTTAATGAACGAATTTTAATTAATTAGCCGGCTTATCGCAAAGATTAGCCACCCATATAATGTCCGCCTGGCCGTATAACCGACCTGCACAAACCTTATAAGTGTAGCTTTCACGGCTTTTTTAAAACAAATCTAAAATAATAAAAAACAAAAACAAAAAACACCCTGTATTAGCTTTTCTTTTAGTTCAATATAACGTACAAATTATTTTCGTGACATTGGGTTTCCAAGGGAAATGGACCTTCTGAGGTCTCCTACTTGTTTATTCTAATACTGGGCGTACCTTTTCAGCATAAAGAGACCACGTTGTGCTTCGGTTGCGTACACGATGCGGTTGGCTGCGTGTGACGTTTCATACGAAGCGCAAATGTCCTGTGGACTGTCGGTCAGAACTCAATGGGAGTTCACGGAACATAGTCAAACGCGCTCAAACGCTATGTATGAATGGGCCTATCCCACAGTCCTTTGGGAAAGGATGGGAGAGGGGGAGAGGTCGGACTCCATTTGAGTGTGGCGGTGTAGGAAGGGGGGGGGGGCATTGTTGAATCGCTAGACTTTTAGACTTTGTAAAAGAAGTGAACCCGTTTTCCTTCATGGCCTCGGGGACGCTTGGCGTGCGAAATTTCACCATACTATATTCGAGGCTCCGACTCTAGTTGTGCAGAGCTCTTCAGGATGAAGTTTATCTAATAATGCTTCACATCATTGCTTGTTTGTTTTCCGCTTTTGAATATTCAAGAGTGCCGAAGTCCACTGTCGGTCAAGGAAATGCCAACTTGTTTTACTTGCACAGGGCACTTGGAGATTCCTCGGTGGATGGAGCCGCGATGGTTATGATGACCCCGCCGACGACGAGAACGAGAAATGTCCGGATCAACCTAAGAGCGAGAAGACGTGCAAGGCTCAAAGCCCAGGTGTCGGTCTGCATAGCTGGGGGATCCAAGTTCGTCATATTTTCGATTTCATATGACCCGCTTAATCTCGTTTTTAGAAATTCGGCTTCCTTTTGGTGCAATATGACCCTTTTTGGAAGTCTGCGCCGTCGCCTGCCCGCCATTGCTCGATCATGTACTGTCAGCATATGTTTTGGATACGAGTGTGACGTCAGTGTTCGGCGAAGACTCGGATCCAATCGCGCGGTCCGTGCCCCGAATATCGCGACCATCAATGTTGCTTGATGGACATTTGAAAAGGGTCTATTAATTATGTCGTATGTCTGATGCTCGAAAAAGTAGCTATGGCCACTGTCAGCTTAAGAAAGAAATAGCTCTTGCCTCTTGAGTCGTCTTTCGGCGGTTCTTATTGGATAATGCCGCAATGTTCATCGGCTTTTAGGCGTTAACAAAAAAACTCAGAAGTGGTACGTCCTTCGTTTTTTAGACTGTCGGTAAATGTCCACTTACTCCGTGTTGTTTTAATTTTTATTTATTGAAATTAGACGAACTGCGCTTGTTACTTTAAATGATCTTGTGCACAAGAAAATAAAAAAATACTAATTGTTTCCGTCGCGAGCCTTCAATTAGATTGTTTTTTTTTTTGCAAACCAGCTTTCTTAGAAACATCGCGTGATCTGTGGACCGTGTTTCAGTTCTATTATACGTAACATCTACTTGATTATTTTGGTTAAACGATTTAAATATATGGCAAGCCACCGAGTGGTTGATACTCGGTCAAGTTAAAACTTCGCTTTTTCTGCATAATACTCAGATATATTTTGCAATGACCAGTAACATTTTTATGCCGGGAATAGACAGTCTCCCTAATATATCTTTTTTTTTTAGTGTAAAGGTCGACAGACGAGAAAACATGTCACCGAGTTTATTGCACGCGACGATAGAAGCAGAGAGAAGCAGTCACCTAGCTGTGTTTGGAGATTTGTGTTCATAAAAAAACAGACGTTGACTAAACATGAATTCTTGGGGGTGATAGAGCTGGCCAGCAGATTTTTCTGAATCTCAAAAACACGGCCAACAATGCAGTTTCGCAGTGGAACAAGCTTCACACGTCCGTGTAATAGCGACCTTCTGATAATGCAAAACGTCCAACAAACGCGTGATTTTAAACAATATTTATGATGGTGCATTTGTATTTTGTTACAGCTATGCAACGAAATGGTATGGCATTTTTGCACCAATGGTAAGACGGACATGTTCTATGACAGTCCCTTGAATTTAACGGACGACATAAAAGAATGCCAAGAGAAGTACGGACTAACGCCTGATGTGAACAAGACTCTGTTGATGTTCGGTGGAAAGAACATCTTGACGGCTTCAAATATTATCTTTAGGTAAGCCTATGTCATGGAGGACTTCCCGAAATGCCTCGAGATTTTGGACAAAATGTATAGAGCGGATATGTAGACGCTTTGATTACGAAGTCGAATTATCTTGGCTGGTGGTCTATCGGACGTATCCTCAACCGTCGGTACAAGATTCATAGTGAAGTTGTTTATCAAGATACGAGAAAAAGCTTTTGTTCCTTTGTACTCTAAAGAAAATTTGCCGCTTCTCTACCGCGAAGGCTCCAACAATAAGCACATATAGAAGCGTATGAATATGGGCGAGTAGGTGATGTATTGAAACAGAAATAACAGCGTAAAAATGTCTAGAAGCCAATGCACGCGCCTGACATCATCATTGTTGAATGCCCGACCAGCCCCTAGCGAAAAACATGCTGACTCTCAACGACAGTCAGCGGATTGAAGCCGCTTTAAATAAATACAAAAACCAGTTTCGCGTCTTCCGACACTGTAATTTAGTACGGAACTGCAAGTAGCTTTTCGATTTCTATTCTTAAGTATCGGGGTGCAAATTTTTTTTAATGAAGAGTTACAACTAAAAAGGAAGGAAAAACATATTTCCTGTGATTGATTGGTGTGCAATTAGGCCCTTTTTTACTAAAAGTTAGAAAGCGTTCTTGTTTCTCATTGGAGCATTTTTTTTAAATTCTTTTTGTTCTTCGTGCTATATAAAATGCCCCAAACCTCCACAAATAAACTTTTCTCACATCGACACACACAAAAAAAAAAAGGCCTAAATGCATAAAGAGCCACGAAATCATAGTTCCTTAGTTGTAAGTTCTGATTGCAACGTATACTCTGATGTTTTCAAACGAACATTAAAAAAAAAAATTCAACACCAGTCAGATTTAGGACTAAATTGGAGCATCAAAGCATGAAAGACTAAGTTTGAAAAATTATCTAACGCTGGCTCAATATTTGGTCTCCCGCTATATAATTGCCCAGAAAAACACCCAAGGTGATTATTTCCACCGATCGGAGCGCAGCGGCGCGTACCCCTCGTGAGCTCCTAATTTTTTTATAAACTATCGAAGTTGCAAACCTTGAAGGGTGTGCGCAATTAGGAGTCGCAGAAAACTTCTATGACTCTCAGGTAACGTTAATAACCGCTTTACTTTGTTCACTGCTAAGCCGACGCGGCCAAGTTGCGCACCGCAGTCACTGACATGTGAAGAGGCGCAGGGTGCGGTATATTAAAACGATAGCTGCATTAAAGCGATAGCTTTAAGGGACCGCAGCCTGCGCTATTAAAAACGGTAGATTTAAGCGGCGCTTTACCACGAGCCGATAGCTTTAAGCGGCACAGCTCGTGTCGCTTAAAGCTAGTGTCACAGAAAAGCCGGATTTTTTTTTTTGCGACACGATACTTCGGCGTCGGAGGAGTCGTGGTTACGGGAAAATTCAGGTTGGTCGATAGGTTCATGAAGTTATAGCTACGTGACCTGGCGCGGGAATTTCGAACAACCCACAACGCTCACGTGAAACGTGGCGTCACGCGTGGAATGAAAGTGGTGGATGTTTCAAATGATTTCACTGTCGAGAGTAATTCATTTGCCTTAAAAAATTAAGAACTTTAGAAGGAGACGGGATTCGAACCCACGACCCTTCGGTTGCGAGCCAGACACTTGGCCACGCAGATACGCTTGCCCGGCTTGGGAACGAGCGAGGGTTTATATGTTTAACTATCAGGTTACACTCTCAAAGGCGAAGCTTAAGAGTCTTCCTGCATTTTTTTTTTTTATTTAGGCTTCTTGCTTTGCGATTCGTTCTTTATCGTTCTTTTAAAGGCAAATGCGGAAATCTCATTGTTTACGGAGCGACCGCAACATGCCAAGGAGGCAGGACTCACCACGCCCTGTGTTTCTTGTACATTCAGTGACTAAACGATTTCGTCATATTGGCGTGCGCATGACCGAGAAGGAACGCTTCTCACTACTTCTACAATATTTTAGTACACTCTTACTTCAAGTATAAACTATCGACGACAGCGCACTCTTTCACCTGTGCCCGACTCTGTCCGTTTCCGCCAACTCTGACGCCCACGGCGCATTGTAATTATGTTCTTGCACGTCATGCTTGCGGCAATATCGCTCAGCAGCTATGAATCCGAACGGCACCCGCGTCTTCCATCCCATTGCTTGTGTCCTTACGCAAATCTCCATGATTGGAATTTGGATAATGCGTACACCGCAGGTTACACGAAAAGGAACAAGGTATCGTTCCTTGTTTTCGACTTTTATTCTTTTCTTTTTAATCAGAGGCGCTCTTTAGAAGTTTATTTTCTCACATAGATTCAATAGTTTTCGGTATCTATATACAGTGTTGGATGAAGATCGGCTTTTATTTGAGTTTATGTAAAAAAAAACAAACATGCCACGGCCGAAGGATCTTCTTCGGTCTAGTACAAAACAAAAATAGTGTTGTAACTAATTCTTGCCTGTGATTTTTTTTTTAATTCAAGAATACAGCTTTAAGTAGGGATGTTTCGGTTTTTCCCGATATTAATGAAACGGACTGGTATTACTTTTAAGGGTTCCTAGCAGGGGTGGCCAAAGCGACATGGTTTAGAGACGCCGACAAAACTACCAAAGTTAAAAGAGCCGCAGAAAAAAAAAAAGTGGGAGTGGAGGAAGTACCTTTAACAAGAAAAGAAATATAGAGAAAACTGTATTTTTTAAAGAGGGCAAATCATAATTGTGTACTACAACAAATAACACCAGGCAGCAGAACGCTTTTTCAACCGCTACGCAAAAATGAATGCATGGTTCGCTAGCCAGCCTCTGCCCCTGACGCCCACTATGCGTATGCGGTTCGAAATTCTCTCTCGAACGATAAAGGAAACAGGGTCACTGGGCACATCTATATGTGTGAAAAAGCAGTCCAGCTGTATGTACGTAGTGTAGTACAAAGGCTGCCGAGACTGTGAGCCTCTTTTTTGAAAGGCTCGAACTCTTTTCGTCTAGGGGACACAGGAAAAAAAAAAAGGGGGGGGGGGGGGCACGCTTACCAGAGAGCCGCCAGCCTCACTTGGACCCGCAAAGAGTCGCATGCGGCTCGCGAGCCGCAGTCTGGCCACCCATGGTTTATAGCTATTTATTGAAAATTAAGCCCCTTGCCCAGGGGTCGGTAACCCGCGGCTCGCGAGGCAGTTTGATGTGCGGCCTCCGACACGACACCAAAAAAGACCCCCCCCCCCCCCCCCCCCCCCCCTTACTGTCCCCCCTTCGCGACTTTCTGTCCGGACTTCTCCGTGTCTGCTTCGTGACGACTCAGCCCGCCGCTGCAAAAGGTTGCCGCACCCCCCCCCCCCCCTTCCCCCCTCCCCTCCTAGTCGGTGCTATCAAAATTGGGGAACACCAAAAAACACTGAATTAAATCTTTCTTAAAAAAAGGAAGCTTTACAGGAAGAAATTTGCAACTAAGGCATTATTTTGTACCTCTTTGAGTCTTTTTTTTTTTAATTTTGTGACAAAAAACCTGGAAAACGTAGATTTCCTGTTTAGCACAAAATATTAAGAAAAATACAGAAAAAAAAAACTGCCAAGAAAAAAAAGTTGTTCTCACAAGCCCGAAAAAAAAACAACAAAAAACAACCGTATTTGCAGAAAAAAAAAAAAAATACTTCCCCCTCTAAAATAAAAACAAAACAGAAAAAAACACCTAAGGTTTTCAAGAAAACTAAACCTCGAAAACACGGAACCCCATTTATAACCAATTAACGTCCGTTCGGCGTATTGCAGTAACGGAGGCCTTGACCCATGGTCTGCCGGTGGCATCCTAAAGAACCTGTCGAAGAACCTGGTCGCTGTCTACATGCGGGACGCCGCGCACACGCACGATCTGTTGGCTTCCAATCCCGGAGATCCACGGTCTCTCGTAGAGGGAAGAAAACGGGAAAAAGGAATCATCAAGAAGTGGTTGCGGCAAAAGTCGTCACGACGCTGAACAACTCGTGGGAACGTTACGCCGAGAAGATGGTAAATGCCGATCGGGTTCCTGACCCACCTACCATCGAGTATAATAAAACAATCCTGACAAACGAGTGAGATGCATAGAAAACCTTATTCGTGGTTAGCCAGACTGGTCCTGAACCCATCGAATCTAATAATCATTCCGATCTAAAAAAGTAATTGCGTTGTGTAGTCGCTTAGACACCGCGAAGTTTGTTGGCCCCCAGGGGAGTCCGGAACTTCCGCGGTAGATGAGCAATTTAGCCATCACAGTATGAGTGCTACACTGGCGCCTTTAACGCTGTTCGCGTCGTGATTACACTATACCACACAGCGGTACAATGTTCAACCTGATCGAAACGGGCAGAGGTTGGGATTGGAATTAGTATCGCTGAGGTTCTGCAGGGCGAGCAACTTTCGCTTTACGTACTCCGACGTGCCGGGAGCGTTGACGCTCTCGGCCGTCGATCCCTCATCATTTGGATCTGATGGAGACGAAGTTATATCAAAACCCCGTGAAGTTTCATAATTCTATTTCGGAGTTCCGTATTGGAAGGCCGCGAAATACTTTCGGGGAATCAACAAAACAATATAAAATCTCCCTTTCGCTCCAAGAGCGTTCCATGAAACTGTGCTTATCGGTGTTCTAATAAGCTCATTTTAGTTTTCACGATGTTTTAAATAGAAATAAAATAAGTATACTTTGCGCGTCGTTTGACTATTTTCTGAGGACATCTTTGTTTCTATTCGTCAGTAAGAATCGAATTGTTCGTCACCTGGCACCCGAGGTTTCTAAGCGTGAACGGTGACATAGTCTGTATCCCTTGTTTGTTTTAAGAGACTCTACATCACAATTCATTGGGAACCTATAAAGCCCTATAAAAAGGCACATGACACCGAAATTATTTAAATAATTATTCCAACGTGGCTTATTTAAATCACACCTTAACGTATACCCAAAGATTGATGTAATAAAAATTATCTCTAATAAAAAAAAAAAAAAAAAGCATGGTTCGAAATTCGATGTTGTGCTCTAAA